AGCCCACGGGATCTCTTCACCTCCCACCCCAAGAACCCAGGACTGTAAAACCTTTGAAGCTATTTCTGTTGTGCCTTTAAAAAAGAAAACAATTCTAAAGGCTCAATTCACCACCCACAGCAATGCAGAACATTCCCAGAAAGAGTTAAACACAGGAAACCTGTTGATTAATTTACAGGCAACAAGCTGCACTAATAAAGCCCCAGGGACCTTAATCAAGCTGTTTGCTGGTTGCCAGACCAAGGCAGGAAGATGGGCAGAGCTGTCAGGATGGATTAGCGTTTGCCCACTGGCAACACGGCTCCTGAATGGGAGAAAGAGGGGGAGAAGCACACAGAGAAAGGTCTTTTCCAGCCTGAACCATTCCATGATTCTCTGGAGGGGAAATGATGTGCCCGGAGCAGCCCGAGGTTGGATGGCTCTGGAGCTCCCAGCCTACACAGGGGATGGGTTTGTGTCTTGGGTTTTACTCCCATTGTTTGCAATTCCTTCCAAAAAGCCAGGAAGGAGCCATTTCTTTTTTTTTTTTTAATCTTCTTTAAAAAGATCCTGTCCTTTTCCATTCAATTTCCTGGCCCCCTCTTCTTCTCATATTCCAAGAGAGCTGAATGAAATAAAGTTGTTTATAACTGACCCCATTTTGAAGGGTTTGGGTGACACACATTGGGGTCAGGACGTTTTGCAAATTCAGCTGAAGCTGAAAAGGGACAATTTCCTTTCATTGTGACATCAAGGCTCTGCTCAGGTACCTTTTTCTCCCTGAACCATTTACAGTTCTGACCATGGGGTTAACGCAGCAGAATCCAAACAAACCTTCTGCTTTCCCATCCTTTAACCAACACCAAGGAACCCAAGTGGAACCAGTGCTGGAATAAATCAGAATTACAGATCTGAACCCTGATTATCTGCAGGGAAACTTTTTACCCTTTAAGTAACTAAACTTTAGTTAACCTGGCAGTTCTTTTCCTTTTTCTACATGCTGCCAGGAAGCCTCTGCCTTGGGGTTCCAGTTTAACAGGCTGTGTGGCCAAGAGGATGTGGAGAGCTTGTAAAACACCTGACTCCACACAGGAACCAGCAGAAAAGGCCAAAAGATGGATTTTATTTTGCTAAAGCTTAACAGACCAAAACAAAGGAGCAGAGAGTCGCTCAGCTGTGAGTCTTGCTCACATCAGGTATGTTTGAACAAGGCCATTTCCACCCCCCCACCAGCTTTCTGCTGTTCCAGCCAGCAGGAATGAAATATCCCGTGGGAATTCCTGCAGCTGAGTGCTACAGATCCACTCAGCACAGCTCTGATATTTTACACCAGCCAAAGATCACCTTCTCCTGCATTTACAGCTCCCCTGAACATCACAAGGGAGACACAAGCTGGATGTTGACACCTCAAGACTTGCACCCAAGAGGGGATGGAGAGCATGGTGAGCACTGAGAAAATGCAAATGCAGCTGAGGATTAGCAAAAGCAATTATGAAAAACAAGTAGTGGAAATAATGATTCATCAGGAGTTGAATCAGATGTGCAGCCCAGTCCTGCACTCGGATTTGGTGATGGCAGGGAGGATTCCAGGCCTGCAGAAGTCATTTTTAAAGCTATTTAAATGCACAGAAGGCCCAGTGATAGTTTTGCAACACTACATTTTTGTCTACCCTGCTACCTTTCAGACAGACCTTGGAGAAGGTCTGTGGCATCCTTCTCACTCCACAAACACCCCTTTCCTAACCAAAACTTTGAGTCAAGGAGAAACATTGCAAAACAGGGATGCCAGATGGGAAGAGCTGTGTGAAAGTTTGCATCAGGCCAAGTGATACAAATCAAGCACAAATACAGCAGCACACAATATTCCCCAGCAGATCTCAGAGCACTCCAATGTTCTTCAGAGAGCACTGACAGTGTCACGGTATCCCCATGAACAGCTGGGGAACGTGGAGAAACACAAATGCACGACCTTGCTCAAGGTGAAGAGCTCTTCTCCCTGCTCTGAAGAGGACACTGGGTCCTCTCAGCCACTCCCTGCTCTTCCTGGTGAGGGAATGCTCCAGACATCACCCCAAGCACAGCCAAATTCCACAACAGCTCCAGCTGCGGGATTTTCTCTGGGCAGAGACAGCAACACCAGGCCTGGAGAGACCCCAATAACCAGGAACACCCTCTGATGAGGCAATATTTCCTTTGCTCTCACTGGGAACAGATCTGAAGCTGGAAAAAGGCTGGCACAGAACCCTGATGGTGGCTGAGGACCATCAAACCTGGGTTAGTTCTTGTCACACCAAGCAAGCAAAACGACCTGGCTCTGTTCATGTCAGCTCTCCATCTGCAAAGCTTCAGGTTAAAACATTACAACTACAGAATAAAGTCAAGTGTCAAGTGAGTCACAACCATAAAGATGAAATAAGAAAGCTCGACTCGAGTCCCTCCATCCCACTCCAGGCTCAGCAGCCAAGACTTTCCCCCATCAGCTGCAAACTTCCTGCCTTGCCAGTGAAATCACAAGCAAAAAGCCAATAGAGCTTTTTTTTTTAATCCCTGCAGTGTTCAAAGCCTGTGCAGCAGTTGGATTCCCACAGGCTGTGATTTCAGCACCCCTCAGACATCCCAAAGCTCTGCCAGGAACCTGTTAACACCACGCTGACACGCAGCACCTGCCTGGGCCAGCCCTGCCAGACCCTTCCCGAGGGCTGCCCATGGTTCCTGGTGCTCTGTCCTGAGCTAGGAGAGCTGCTGGGGAAGGCTTGGACACAGGGACTCAGATTTTTGAGGTGGGTGAGCTGCCCTGAGGGACAAACATGGTCCCAAACAACACAGAAGGATTTTCTGTCACAAAGAGACTGCTGAGGTTACACTGATGAGCAAATGGCACCAAAACTTGGCTCCCTCACCAGCCTCTCTTCCCTTTGACAGAGTTAAGGGTCAAAGCAGGGTCTCAGCCAGCTTCTAATCCATGTTTGCACTCCCTTGGATGCAAAGCTGCCAGGGAGAACCTCTGGGAAGAAAAGAAAGACCATCCTCCAGGGGATTCGTGCAGAGCAGGTTCAGTATCAGTCACCAGCACCCAAATCTCCCAGTCCAACCAGTGCAGAGTCCCTGTCACGGCCACACAGCTTCTGGTTGCTGGCAAAAAAATCCAGCTTTGCCCTTGGGCTGCCCCAGACCCTTCCTGTGGTCACTTTCTCTGTTGGCACTGTGTCCCCAGGGCTGTGGGGAAAGGCAGAACTGACCCCACTCCAGTTCCATCTCTGCTTAATGGTCCCAAAGGTCCTGGGACAAAACCCCAGGAAAGCCCCTGGAGGAAAAGCCTGGCAAAGCCAAGAGTGACCCAATGGCAACAACTGGAATGCAATTTCCCAGCAGAAAGGCAGAACACAGGCTGTCCATCATAGGACAGATAAAGATGATTCAGGGAAGACAAAAATCAGCAGGGAAAGGGATGAATGAAAGTGTTCAGAACTCAGACCACATCAAAAAAGTAAATAGACAAAATACCCGTATTTTTTCCTCACTTACTGTAGCAGAAGAATGATGTGAAAATAAAGAATATAATCTTCCTGAAGCCACTGGAGCATGACTATAAATTACAGCTGAAAACAAAATCAAACCTGGAAATCACTTGCAGGAGAATTTCAGATGACTCTGTGGGTCACCTCCATCTCCAGCAGTTACAGAAGGGAAAAGAAAGGTGCAGAGGAACTAAATTATTTATGTCAGTCAAGCTTATCTGTCAGAGGGATACACCTTTCCTACCACAGCACATTTCTGGGATTAATGATCAGGCACTATCTGGAGCTGGGCAGAAGAAATAAAAGTGAAGAGATTTGGTTATTGGGGAAGAAAAAAAAAAAAAGATGTATTACCCAGCTCATCTAACAAACACTGGAGTTCAGAGGAATATCTCCCTGAACCAGAAAAATGATACTTTATGATAACTAAAAAATTAAGCACTGAAGGATAGCAAGAACAAGAGCTCTGTTGAAAAGTGCATCCAGGAATGACAGCGGTGCCAATTAAGATGCTAATTAAAATCAGAGCACTTTCCCATCTGGGAAAACCAGAGGGTGGGCTTGGCCTGAACCAGTCTCAGTGGGAAAGGGGCTGGGTGGGTGAAGGAGGTGCCAGAGTGGCAGCAGAGTTTTGTGCCTGGTTTGCTGAGACCCCTCATGAGGCTGCCAAAGAGTCCTGGGAAATGGAAAAGCAGCAAAGGAGTCAGGCAGGGAACAGGAGAAATAACCCAGGAGTTTCATCAGGGCAGTTCCCTCACCCCAAAACACCAGCTCCCCCAGTTTAATCAACCCAGAAAACAGGTTGAGAGAGCAGGGGTTAAAATTCTCTCTTTTGTACAAATTATTCCCGAAGGAAAGCTGAGAGAAGCTCAGAGGAGCAGCTGTGGGTGGTGGTGGCTGCTGCTGACACCTTGGTTCACCCACCAGCATGGGCAGCACCCACACCCTGTGTGAGCCCAAAAATGGGGGAGAGCAAACTGGAAATCAGCTCAGAGATGTGGAATAAGGCTTGGGAGCCATGCAGGGCCTCAAAGTGATGAAAAGAAGGCACTGACCTTAAAAAGGCAGAGCAAGGAGGTGACAGAGCCCCAGATTTCACTTTCTCCTCTCTGAGAAAGTTACCAAAATTTTCACTTTAGTAAAAAGCTAAGCTTAAACTTTACTAAGTTTTTACTAAAAACAAAATGTTGTTGATGGTGTGAAATGAAGGTTTGGAAAGTTAGCATTTGCCAAAGTTTGTGTTGGGTAATCCTAACTCAGCATTCCTGGATGCTCCTCCTCTCCAGGACACAGAGCAGGTGTCTGTAAGGAGTGGGAGAAAAAGCTGCATTTAAGGGCAATCATTGTGTGTTTATCTTTGCAGCCTTCCAGAATGTTTATTTTGGTTTGGGTGTGGACAGACTTGTTGGAGGAAATGATTGTAAAGACACCACATAATTACACAAAAGCACATTGTGTGGCAATAATCCTCCCATGAAATCCATCGCTCGCTGAGCCATCACTGCAGGGCTCCCACACAAACCTCAAAGGCTCAGCCCAGCCTGCTGGGTTTTGGTGGCACTGAGGGACACCTGGTTTAACACAGGTCCCCTGCAAGCAGCTGAGCCCAGAGAGTGACAGGAAATCCTCAACAGCACCAGCTGTGGTCACATCTCCATCAGAAGGATGGGCAGAGCCACCAGCAAGGAGAAGGTGACACCTTCCCTGCCGTGCCCCCAACCCCAAAAGGGCAGGAAAGCCCACAGGGGATAGCTGTCCTCAGGCACAACAGGGCTGAAGAGGCAGGAGAAGGTGCTGGAATCTGCCCCTGGCCAGCAGCCAGGGCCCAGACTGCTCAATTATCCAAATAACGGGATGATCCCGCATTAGAGGAGATGCTGATAACGAGATTTCCATAAGCACTCCCAGGGCACTTTGCTGCTGCCCTTAGGATGGTCTCAAAAGGATTTGAGAGGCAGGGATTCATTATTCCACCTGGAATTTTTCCCCACAGGCTTCCACCATCCCCTGGAGCATCTGAGACTGCCAAGGTTTGAGTCCATGGGAAAGGATTCCTGCAGCACCACCAGGGCCTAAGGAAAGCTCCCTCCCAAACCACTTTACTGTGAAAAAGGTGGGTGGGGGAGAAGGCAAAGGGTCATTTTTGGTTTCCATTGGCACCAATTACGCCTCTGGCACGTTTATGGAATTTTTATTTTTTTTTTCCATCATCAAGATAGTGAGGTTGGGCTTTTTATTTTTAAATAAACAAAGGCTGTAATGGGCAGTCTGTGCTGGGGCACGTCTGGAGCCTCCAGCTTATCAGAGCCATCACAGGACACGGAATTTTTGTTCATTTTATCTGGGGGAAAAACAAACAAAAAAAAGAAATAATTGAAGCCCATAGCCCAAAGGGGTGGAAGGGAGGTCTCCCTTCTCTCCAGCAGATCCTGGGTTTAGCATGCCAGCTCTGACTGGAGGCCACGAGGGAGCAGACACAGCAATTTGCAACCAAACAGCTGCTGCTGCCACCTCCAGCTCTGCTGGGACTCCAGCACTGGCAAGCAATTAAAAGTTCACATCAAAGCCATCTCCAGAGGCACATTTATAGTCCTGAGGATGGCCCCTGCCCAAAGACACAGCCCAGGGTCAGATTTCAGTCCCTACCTCACGCTCTGAAGTCCTTGGCTGGTTTCATGGCCAGCCTGGGGCTCCCTGGAGCCAAGCCCTGGTCAGATCTGGTGGCACCCAGGGACAAAAGTGGCTCAGGGTCCCTCCATGGAGCAGGCAGGGATGCACTGGCAGAGAAGGGCACCCCAGGCTGTGTCTGCTTTGCCTCTCCCAGCCTCACTCCCCCATTTACACATTACTGGGGGAGCAAAGGTACTTGACAGCTGCAAAAAAGCAGATAATTCTGCCTGCCATGCCTGTGTTTATGCAAAAGCCGCTGGTTTATGAGGAACAGCTTAGTCAAAGCACACAAAGAAACACCCTGCAATATTTTTTGGAGAGGGTTGGTTTTTGTTGGTTGTTTGGTTTCTTTTTTATTGCTTCGAGAAGCAAAAGGTTAGCTACAGAAATAGAGAGAACAAAGCAGCTTAACAAACAACTGCTTCTTGTTTTTCTTATTCTGCACAGCCTCTCCCAAACCCAGCTCCACACACCCAGCACAGACCCAGCAAGGAGCACCCAGAGCCTCCAAAAACATTCAAGGGAAGGGGCAAAGCCTCCCTGGGGACTTGTCACAGCCAGGGCAGCTCGGTTTGGGTTTGTTTCTCCACATCAGCATGAGGGGAGTGAGAGAAGTGGGAGATCCTCCCTCCAGCCCCAGCTGTTCCTCCGGACACAAAAAAACTTCAGCAGCCACGTGGCACAAGTGCTGCTCTGATCCTGCCACAGGTTTGATGCAGGGTATCAAGGAAGCCTGGATTTGGCATCCCCTGCTATCAGCAGGAGCCCTGGAGCATCCTAAAATCAGCCTGGAATGCTCTGGCCATAGCAGAGTCCCAGCTCAGCCCCCAGCTGTGACAATCCAGGCCATTCCCAAGGGACAGGGACCAGGCAGCTCCCCTGCTCACCTCCCACAGCAGGAAATGCTGGGGTTATTGTTGCCCTGTGGCATTTAACAGGGTTGTTTGTCTCAGCCCCATTAACCTTCAGCAAATTAAAGATATAAATCACAAATTAGTAGCAGGCTCTGAGTAACCTGTTTTCCCAGTTTCCAACACTGTCCCCAACACAAACCACATTATAAGAGAGAACAGAACTGTCCCTGCAGCATCCCACCACCTTTAGCTCCTGCCTGCCAGAGGACAGGAGAGGAAAAGGAGGAGAAGGCTCCACATCTCCCAAAATTCAAGGAGTTTTTCCCGGCCAAATGAAGGGAATGGCTTTGTGGATGGCCCAGAACGCTGGCTGGAACCACATCCCTTGGGAATGGCTGGGCTCCAGAGCCATCCCTGGATGCAGCTGAGGCTGGGAGGGCTGTGTTCCTTCAGAGGGTTTGCAGGGTGATGGTTTGGATTTATTGGCACGGGAGTGCCCCACGCAGGAGAAGAGATGCACACACATTTCTGGGAGTTGGGTTCTCCCACTCCCAGGGCTCCAGCGAAAAACAAAACAGGTTTGACAGAGAACAAATTAATTCAGCATGAAGGAGCTCTGAAAAAAATAAAAAATTATCTTTGACACACGAAAAACAGATAAATCCTCACAGACGATTACTTTAACAAGGCAAAAAATCCATCACAACGCTGCAGAAAGGAGGCACAGAGAAAGGCTTTCAGATGGATGTGATGTTTTTATACCCACAGGCACAGTTCAGAGATGACAGCAGGGATTTTAGCCAGGACTCCTGAACTGCCTCAAGATTTGGGGAATTGCTGCAACCAGAGGAGAAACCCCCCACCCACAGCAGGTGAGCTCCAGGTAAGCTGTGTCACCTCAGGCCTCAGTTTCCCCTTCACACACCAAGACAGTGGGGCAGCCCCACAGCTGGGGGCTCTCCCAAGCCCTTGTCCTGTTATCCAGTGATATTTGTGTTGTGCACTGAAAGCAGGCACAGCAATCTGGGTGTTGTGGACACCATTCCCATCCCCAGCTTTCCTGAGCCCAGTGCTGGGAGCACAGCCCGAGGCCCTACAGACCCCAATAACTTCCCCACCCTCCCTTGTCATGCTCTGCCTTCTTGGCTTTGCTGGCCTAAGATTTCATCCTTGAGGGGCACATCAAGGCTACTTTTCAAAGTGTTGAGATTGTCTTGAAACTTCTTAAACACACACACACTTCAGCCTTTGGAAATTGCACAAGCCCCTCCAAAAAAAGAGAGACAACAAAAAACTCATCTGCCCCATCTCCTCAGTAAATCTCTACTGGTTTTTCTTTGTATGGACTCCTTTAGGATCCCAAAATCCTGCTCAGTTTTCAGGCTGCAGCAGACCCTCCCCAGCTTGTGCAGCTCCAGAATGCAGACAGGTTCCCCATCTCCCACCAGTGCAGCACAGCCCTGCTGGATGTCACCTCCAGCACATCTCTCTGTGCTCTCCTTTCCTCCTGGGCCATTTCCAGCCTCCCTCCCGTGCCCTGGCCTCCCAGCCAACCTGCAGCAAGCAGTTCCCTTCAGTTCAGCGAGTGCTTTTATTGTGTTCCTCCCCTTGCCAGAACAAACACGTCCCAGGTTAGCATCCTCTGAGGGTTTTGGAGCTGCTTTCGAGCTGGGGAGCACTTTGTGACACCTCACATTTACATTTATGGCTCTCCAAACGTTTCACACAGATACTCCTGACCTCCTTATCTACCCAAGGACACTGAAGGGTAAAAGATCCAAGATTCAAGCAGCAAGACAGAGCAGAGCCATGAAGGGAAGATAATGCCTCAATTTCAGAGCAAAAAGAGCAGCCAGGCATGGGCCAGACTGGTTATTCTGCTCTATAAGTGCATCCACTGGCTGTTTATGACACCCCTCATTGCTTTACAGAAATCCAAGTTAACCTGCTGAGCCCAAAGCCAGGCGTGCCCCACGGCTGACCTTTGCGTGTGTTCCAAATCGGAGTGCACATTGTATTTCCCCGGCCTCTCGTCCGTGTTTTGCACAGACACAATGACACAAAAGAGGCACAGCCCGCCAGCCAAGCCCTGCAGAGAAGGTGGCTTTAAATAGCCCCTTTGTCTTGCTTTTCCTTGCTGAAATATTGCACATTATTTACAACCCAGTTTTAGTTTTATCAGGGACCCAGAAATAGAGACAATGGAGGGCTGGGTGAGTTTTTGGATCATTTTAAGGCCTGAAGTTTCTCATTTCTTTCTACCCTCGCTCCCCACTGCAGGATTTGTAGCTGTAGCCCAGGAACCGTTCCCTAAGGGGTTCTCAGACCCACAGGAGTCATCCCAGCCAGGAGGGCAAGAGGTGCCCTGAGAAGATGGGATGTGTGGGAGAAACCTCACCTCTGCAAACTGAGGGCAGAACTCTAAAAGCAAATCTTCTGTCCTCAATGGGGAAAAAGTCAGCAGCTTCAGCAGACTCCGGGCTGGTACCCAGACGAGGTCAGAAATTAAAAGGTGTCTTGACACTAAATTAATGGGCAAACTGTCAAGAGAGCAACAGGAGTTATAAACATTTATGTTCCAGTTCAAGGCAGGAGCAGGCACTTAGAACTGCGTGGTTTGAGTGCCAAACATGAAAACTGGAGTCCTTTCTGCTCAGGGCATATGGATGCTCCTTTTTAGGTGTGTGCAGCAGCCTCAGGGATGATAAAATGCTTGGCCCTAGTGAAGAGCCCTGAAAAAGAGTGTCAGGGGTGACCTAATGGGAACACACACCTACAAGACATTCCCAGCTCTCCTCAGGGCTGTGATCACTGTGAATCCCCCTCCTCAGCACAGCCCCCTGCCCTGGGAGGTTTGTATCAGAGTGAGCACTTTGTGTTTGTCCCAAAGCAATGCAAAGGTGCCTCCAGCAAACCAAAATTCATCCACATCTGCCAAAAAAAGCATCACCACCAAGCATCAGCTTTTCCTGAGCAACAGAATGAGCTTTAAGGTCCCTTCCAACCCAAAACCATTCTGGGATTCCACCAGATGAGGCTGCAGGGAATCCCCCACAGCCAAACCTTTGGGACGATTTCACTCCATGCCTTGAGAAGGGAACACAGCCCTTACTCTCTGAGCACCTTCATGATAAATCCACATAAATACTGTCAGTGAAAACCCAGCTGGGACCACCTGGATCCCCAGGTGAGCCGAGCTTGGCTCAGCCCCCAGCGCTTTGGGGAGCAGAACTGCAGCAGCAATTTGTTAATGAGAGAACAAACTCTGCGGTGTGAAAGCCAAAGTGTCCCTGAGCAAACCGGGAGGGGAACGTGCTGCTTTCCCCAGAGCTGCCCCTGTGTGTGCAGCTTAACTGGGGGTGTGAATCCATGCGGGAAATTCACTGGGGTATGGAATATTCTGAGTACAGTGGCCCAGGGTAAGAGGCACAGCAGCGAAGACAAAACACGAGTGGAGAATTCCCCAGCTGCAGGAATCACGATCCCAACCAAAGCTGACACTTGAGTGTGTCCCATGGCTGGGCTCGGGGCTGGGCTCGGGGCTGGGCTCAGCTGAGCCGGGCTCAGCGCTGGATCCATGGGAATCCTTTCCTGAGGCTCTGGCGCCATCTAAGCCCAGAATTGGAATCCTTCATCCTCAGCTGCCCTTCAGAGCGGAGGGAAAACAAAACAGTGAGAACACAAACTCCTCTTGCTTCTCCAGCCCAGGGGCTGTCAGAAAACTTCCTGCAGAAGGAGAAATGTGGGAGCGAAGAGCCGGGAGAAGCCCGGGAATGACACTGGGGGAGAAATCCAAGCCCTGAGGAAGGTGAGATCCAAGGAGTGAGCCAGCACAGCTGTCCGTGTGCTCTGTGCTGTCCTGGAACACTCCAGCACTGCAATTCTTACACTCCCAGACCTGATCAGATCAGCAGAGTTCAGTCAGGGAATGATTGTCTAATACAGCCATAAGTCCACCTGCATTATGCAAAGAAACCTTTCAGCGACTTTTGACCTTGTTGAACTGCACAAGGTGCAAATAATGCAGAGTTTCTCCCCCACTGAGAGAGCTCCTGATTGTTCAGGAGTGAGAAGTCACCCTCAGCTGTGTCCCTGGCTGAGCTTTGCTCTCCTGGGACCGGCTGCTGCACGGTTATTTGCTTTTCTTTTGATCCCTTAAACAACCAACTTCACAGTGTCCTTTTCCTGGCATTTATTCAGCCTTTTTTTTTTATTATTATTTTTTCCTGGTGAGTTCCAGAGTAGCAGGGCTGACTTTTAATCCTGGGCTGCCCTCCAGTGCCAGTGTCCACCCTGGAGCCCCCTGCCCCCCGAGCCAGGGCACATGGGGACCTGCAAGCTCATTAAAATAGACATACACATCAATATTCCTAAATTAAGAACCCTCCAGCCTCAGTGACAACTCCAGCTTTAAGGATTTACTGATTTTACAATCCCACATTCCTGCTTTCCACCCAAACACTGATAATTTATTTTTTTTTTTTAGCCCTTGACAGTTAATTCCATCTCGGTTCAAGTTCTCCTGTCCAATATCAATGTCATCAAATGCATTTATTTACCTTCACTGTTAAGCAAACGGGAGCAGCAGCAGCTGTTGACACAATGTATTATTGAGGTCTGACTTACCTACCAGTTCATTAACTTCCAAAATGTTATCTCCAACTCTGTTTTGCAGAACTGGCTTTATAATCCAAGACTGGATATTTGGATTTCAAAACAAAAACCAACATCAGGGAGCAGAGTTATTCATCAGTTAGAAATAATCTTGCATTACCTAGCAAACATGTAAATCTGATGGGGGCTGACTACCCTGAAACCAAACCCAGGGGAAGCAGCTCCTGGGAAAGAGAAATACAAGAAATGAGAGAATAACCCACCACAGCAGGGTTTAAAAAGCACCCAAAACACTCATTTGTTGGGAAGAGCCAGCTCTGAACCCCCTGGGGGTTTAGTAACACCCCACAGCACAGCAGAGACCCTTCCTTGAGGTACCCACGGCCCTGAGCCCAGGGGTGCTCCACACACCTGAGAGCAGCAGCCAGCACAAAACAGGAATCAGGAGTTATTTGGCTTGGTCCCTTCTTTTGGTTTTGGGTTTTTTTTCTGTCTATTTTCTGCCCAGTTCCTGTGGAGTATTTGCTGCAGGTGCAGACACCCCAGTCTCACTTTGCACTGACCCACATTCCTTTTTCTCCTGCTGTAGCATCACTGGCCTGCTCTGGATTTCTGCCAGTGAATTCACCACTCAGGGCAGTGCAACCTGCTGCTCCAAAGGTTCCTGGCACAGCTCCAGGGGGACTTTTCCCTCCCCTCCACAGCACACACACCTGTAGGGAGGCTCAGGCAGGAGCATCCAGCAGCGCAGCTTCACCCCTCTGCACATCACACACTGCTGAACTCACACGCCAGCTAAATGACAACATCGGCAAAACATATTTTTGAGGAAGAGAAAACAAACCTAAGGACTTGGTGAGACAAGTCATTAAATCACGCTGTAAATGCCTAAAAAAAATTGATCACATTTCTGACGTTAAGAACCGGGTGGGAAGAATGACAACGCTTTCTTGAAAACTGAAACTGCAGCAGGTCACTCGCATCAAATAAAAACAAACCAAACAACCCATCCTTCTGCAGTTTTTACAAATCCCAAAGGCCCCAGGCCAAGGAGAGGTTAACAAGAAACAAGTTAAGGCTTGCAGAGCCTCAGTGCTCTGCAGGAACAGCAGTAACCACGGCGCTGCTTCGCGTTATCCCGCACGTTACTCAATGCTTTTCTTATTCCCACCCAGGATTATTTGTATTCCAGAGCGCTGGCATCTTGTGCCGGTTGGCTGAGCTCAGTTATCAGCTCCCTTCAAATCCAGCCAACCAGGCTGGCGGCTGTTGGACTTCTTGGACACGAAAAAAAAAAAAAAACCAGGCATAAAAGGCAACAAGAACCTGACACCCGGCGGCTCGGCCAGAGCCAAGGCATTCGCTTTCCCAGATCTGTTCTCCCGGCCCTGGAGCTGGGATTGGCAGGCGATTTTGGAGCGCAGGACTTTGAATTCCGGCGGGTGGATTTGGCAGGGCTGCTGCGCGGGCAGCAGCTGCGAGGGATGAAAGTACATTCACGGCCTCAGCTCTGCTTTGGCAGAGGGACAAAAAGCCCCCAGACCCTCTCGGGGGTACCTGGGGCGGTCCCGGCACAGGTGAGCAGAGCAGGACCTGCGGTACCTGCGCTGGGCGCTGACATGTCACCTGGTGTCACCTGCCACCTCCCTCCGGGGCGCATCGCCACACCCGCAGCGGGCGTGAACAGAACCCACCCGGGTTTTGTTGAGCCCCGGGCTGAGTGTGTCCCATCCCGAAGGAGAGCGGGACCCACGGGACCCACGGGACCCACCGGACCCACGGGACCCACGGGACCCACCGGGACCCACGGGACCCACGGG